TCTGGCTCCGCATTTGGTGGAGCTAACATAGCCTGTAGAAAGAGATGAAGATAAATGGCTTTATTATAACTCTGACACTAGATAACGACAAGCATTATGTGGAAGAACTATTAAGAATTAAATTACCTGAATTATACCGGCATGGTCCCCCCTTGAGTGATCCGGTTCTGCTGATGCCCAAGTTCCTGGCCAATGAGAACCGTCGGACATCCATGTTGCCTTGGGAACCTTAATGGGTTCGGAAACATTGGTGCCCAATTCCATCTGTTTCTTTTTAGCTCGCAGCTCCTCGTGAGCATTGTAAGCATCAGATCTTCTCCTTATTGATTCTGGCAGAGAATTTATCCTCACTTTAAATTCATCATATTCTCTCTTCACCTTTCTCCTCTCCCTTACAAAGTCTAGCCGTACCTTGTTTTTGAGAAAATCACCCTTCTGCCCGAAATATGCTTCAGGATTTCGGGGTTCTATCCGGTGCTTTCGACAAAAAGGAACCCATATTCTTGCAAAGCTAGCAGTCTCAGCTAGAGCTTCGAATGTCAACAGAGATCCACCGTCATCAGACAAGTAACAGGCAAGCTTCTCCACTGGATAATCAACAGCTAGGATCGAAAGAATGGTATTTGACGTGACAAGAGGAGGCTCCTTTTCTGGGTCTGCTGTAGAAACAAAAACATCAATCCCGGGAAGATCGGATCTCCCTTTAGGGTTTCGGAGATTTGGGGATTCAAACCTGTCCTTCAGGACAGAGAGATCAGTAACTCTGTTCACGGGACAGAGCTTAGGAAGCTGATCAATTAGCCATGAAAATGCAAACCAAAGCTCACAGGTAATGGACATTCCCCACAACCACATTGCTTCACGGTTGGGATGTCGAACCCTCCAAGTAAGAAATAAGCCAAGTGCAGCTAGACGCATCAGAATAAGTAATCTGAAATAGATGTTTGCATAAAAGAAACTATAAATGAGCATGATCAGAGACTAATTATGCTTCATTAGAATTCTTCTAAATGAAACTCGGACCACAACTTCAAAACAGAAGCAAAAATCCAATTAAAGTATTAAGTGCTACATTTGTGCTCAGAATAAGAATTGTCAACAAAAATTTGAAGAATGTGGGGAGCTAAGCATCGGATTTACCTGTACGGACTAATAATCGCGGCTGAAACTCCGACCTTCCTCGTTAATGGTTTCCTAGTTTTCTCTTCGAAATCTGGAGGGTTCTCAAATCCATTAGCACCTGATCCGGCGCCATAACCGTCTTTGGGCCACACAGCATTGCCATACCCGTATGTTCCTTTTGTTTCAAAGAGCCAGCGAGTGTGATCAAAATCAGGTGGATGGTTCTGCGCTTTAAACGATCTCACAACCGAAAGCCTCTTATCCAACTTGAATTCCGCCATAGAAGGCAATGGCAGAGCCTGGTCTTCTTCCTCAGATATCTGCCCCTCTTCATCGTCACTCATATACTTGAAAAGTTCTTTGCAACCGGGACATCGACCTCCTCCATTTCCAGCGCACTCCAAATAACAATCTCTGCAAATCTTAAACCCACACTCGCAAGGACCACCGGATTTGCTGTGCATTGCTTCCTCATCGCAACCTTTCATTGCGCAAACCGACCCAGATTTCACGGGCTCCTCTCGTTCCATGGAGCACTCAATGACATGCCCCCTGGTCACCGAATTGAATCCTCCCGTGAAAATTGTGCCTGAAATGTAACTTCTATCGGGCTTTCCCGAAATCTTGATGTCATCGGCAAGGCTAGTCTGTGACGATGACAAGGTCTGACGGTCAGGGGTGGGAGGAATGTGAACAGTGTATGTCACATATTCAGAACTAATTTCATCCATCACGTCGTCCTTCGAAATTGAGCAGCAATTGCCACCGCCTGATGCTCGCCTCCCGCCAGTGGAAGCTCTATTTCCTCTGCCACTAAGAGGGGAATTCGGATTGTTCGATACTGAAGCACGCGGAACAGGACTGGTTAGACCCATACTTCTACTTCCACTTCCTTTACCCGCCGACGACACAGTTATAGTCACCGGAGAAGAGGAAGGAGAAGCAGGCGTTTTGACCATCTTCGTCGGAGAAATTGACTCCGAGTTCAAAAAAGGAGGGTGAATGGAGAGAATGCACAAAATGACGTAATGATAAAACACGAATCGTCAATCAAATGTCCATAACGGATTGGTGGGAAATATTGAAGTGAACGATGATTGATAAGAACAGGGAGGAAGGAGGGGGAAGAAGAGAGAAGAGAATAGCTTGTGAATTGTGTGTGATACGAGCAACGGTAGAATTTGAATTTAACGGAAAAAGGTCGCCTATGATTTCAATGTAACGTTCAACTGATCTGGACCGTCGGTTGATTGAGATCATGGAGAAGCTTTCTGATGGAAGCTGTCCGTTTGATTCATGTGGTCCCTGCACGTCACGAGAAAAGTCAAAAGGGTATTTAACTTCAACGGTCTAATGAAACGAACAACCTTCGATGCCCCCCCCCCTTTTTTTTTTTTGGGAAAAAAGTTATAAAGAGTGTGCTTCCATCGTTTCGGACGGGCGAGGAAAAGAAAATGCTTTTGTCTACTCTTTAACGACCTTCCTGCCTTCCGCTTTGGTCGTTTGTTTAAAAAAAAAATGTAAAAGTTATTTCTCTTTGATTAAAATAAAAATTTACTTGGGATTTCATAGTAACCTGAGTGATGTGAATGGTAAAGATGAGTGGTGTTGAGTCATCAATAGTCAAATTTGACTAGTAAGTGAAGCAAAAAGAGTTAATTTTTTTAAAAGAATTTATATACTCAACTTTATACGTTTAAAGTGTTTATTAATTAAATTAAGATATATATATATTTTTTAAATTATTTATTTTATAATAAATTTTTATTATTAATATTATAATCACATTAAAATTCACATTTCTGAATTGGATGAAATAAAAGTATATTAAATAGGTAAGTTTTTATGTAAGTCTTGCCCTTAATTTTTTTTATTACATGACACGTTTTAATTCAATTAGATATCTTGTTGATAATTAGAATCGCTCAAATGCATCTCTTACATATCAGAATATAGTAAGCATTTTTACTGACGACATGAAGTTAGGCTTGAAATGAGAGGCATGTCTAGGGTTGATATCCAGGATACAAATTTCTTGTAATAATAGGGGACATATTTTTGCTCAAAAAAAAAAAAATAGGGGACATATTTTATATCCCCGAGGTTGGGCAAAATTGGGAAACCACGCACTAAGGAGCTGTTTGTTACGATAGATTTGGAAAAATTGAAGTGAAATTTTAAAAGTTCCTTTGGATTACAACTATAATCAATTTTGGGAGAATAACAAATAGGACCTTACATGAATATTAATATTAAATTAAGATTTTTTAATATTTATATTTTCAAATTTTAGTATTCCTTCTATTATATTTCAATACTAAAGTTTTTGTTTTAGCATTAATATTCTTACAAAGTCTTTACTTGTCATTCTCCCATTAATTTTATAAAAAATATCCAAAAAATTCTTGTTATATGGCAAGTTCAATCTACCTCAAAAGTCAAAATCATGATTTTCTTAAACATATTTAAACATAAATTATATATATATTTATATATGTTTGTATATAAATCAATTAAGAACTTAAAAACATAACTTTTTTAAAAAATATTTAAGCACTCTTATATATATATATATCAAAATTAATTATGAATTTAAAATATGATTATGAAGCAAATATAAAATACAGAACGCCAGCGGTAATGGTGAGTCTTTTTTGTCTTGAATCAAGGGCATTTTAACATGTTCAAACAAAATAACATAAATTTAACATTGCTTACTGTCATTGCTCTCCATCTTCCATCCATTTTTGTAATTGAAAATATAACAATAAAATCATTCAAATTATATAAATGATAATTTGATCTTTTAAAATATCATAATCTTATTAAAATTTAAAAAAAATATGTCAATAAATTTTAAAGTGAAAAAAATTATTTTATCTTTATTAAAAATAATAAGTCTCAACTATAATTTTTGTTTAAAGAATAACAACTTTTATTTTGTTAATCATAAGAGTTAAATAAAAAATCACAACTTATCAAATGTAATTTCTGTTATTGAAAAATAAATTCTCAAAATTACAAACCTTAATAACAACTTTTATTCTATAAATCGTAAAAATTAAATAAGAAATCACAACTTGTTAAGTGTAATTTTTATAATTAAAAAATAAGTTCTCAAAATAACAAATTTCAATCACAACTTTTATTTAAGAAATAATAATTTTTATCAAAAAATTATAAAAATTAAACAAAAATCATAACTTGACTATAAAGATAAAATGATCTTTTTAATTTAAAATTTATTGACATAAATATCTATAAAAGTTTTAAAAGATTATGATATTTTGATTGATTAAATTATCATTTATATAATTTAAAAAAATTTATTATTATTTTTTGGTTATAATTTAATCCTTATTAAATCATTGTCCCTATCCTCTCATGGAATAGTGATAAAGGTCCTTGTGTGTCATCTCTCATTAGAATTTCACTTTTGGGGTTGTTAGATTGTCCTTCCATAGTTTTGGTGCCATGATTGGACATTACTACGTTCATAACAACAAAAAAGACAACGTTATTTCATAAACACATAAACCCGAACAAATACTAGGTTAATAGTATGGCAATGAACTTCAAGGGTTTTTCTATAACATTCGATGAACATGTATGCCACTTCATTCCAATTTTAACCTCAAAATAAAAGTATCACTATAGATATAGTAAGCTAAACCTCTTAGGTAAGGCATGAATAACTTAACTAATTATTGAGTACTTGGTGCTCAAGCTTGTTGGGATGATACGCGTTTTGTATCGACTGTTGATTCCCCAGATTAGGCCATTGTTGGTGTGGTTTTATCTTTTATAACTCCAAGCTTTGCTTGCCTCTGTATTGCAAAAATAACAAAAAAGCCCTATTGAATGCTTGAAAGAGAAAATGACAAGGCATGGGGCCATGCTCAGCAAACACACTTTTTACAACTTTCTAAAAGCACTTTCACTATGTGGTTCCATGCAAAATATTTTATTCAAAAACACTTTTTAAAAATTAAAAGTACGTTATCCAAACACACCCTAAGCCTGCAAACGGAGCTTCCTAAGCAACCATTTCTTCCGTAGCTTAACATCCAGTGCCAGAAAAGTTCTTGCTTTCTTTCCATCCTCCAGAAAATCGCAAGCATCCAAAACCAGATCTTCATCCATGTCAGCCAAAGCCTGTACTGCTTGTATCGCAACCTCTATCGGTACCGAGTTATCATCACTCTTTTTTGTTGACAGAGAAGAAACAGTAGTCACCATCTCCTGGAGAGCACTAGCCATGCCTTGTTCATCGCCCCTTAGTCTTTTGGGACAAGTGGAATCGAAACACTTCTCTAATTGGCGCTTGTGTTTCTCTCCATCATGTGTTAACTCCCAGACATTACTACCTTGGTATTCAATATGATCGGATACAGCTGGAGATAGACCAGTTTCAGATGCCCCCATGCTCTTCTCTCCAACTGAATTTTGTTTATCTAAATCTTGATGCGGAGATTCTTTTTCATCAAAAGTTGGATCACATATGACACACAGTTCCTTAAAATACGGCACAGGTCGGGTCATAAACTGCCGCGCATCTGGATGAACCTGCATGCAATCGTTTCAATGGTCTTTAAACCTTGTACAAATAAAGACTAATATATTATCATTATAAGAATCAACATTGCTTAAGCTGTGCTTGGTAAAAATGCAACTGGGAATAAGGTTCCCATTGCATGGTTTTTCAGCAGGAAAATGAATGAAAAACGAAATGGCTAACATTTGTCTTTCATTTTCATCTGGAAAATTTAAGTAAATATGCACTGTCAAACGGGAATGAGATGCAGGCATTTTTTTTTTTTTTAACTGAATTCCTATTTGCCAACGTTTCTATCAAGGATACCCCATTCCAATCCATTTCCACCTCTGCTAACAAGCACACCCTATAAGCTTTTCATTTTTCAAAGAATTTTAAGCTGGCTTTACTTCGCTTTATATTGCCCAAAAAAGCTAGGAGAAGTACCTAGAACTACAGAGTTGGGCCCTTAGTAAATTGCTTTATTACTGAATCCAAACCCAACAATATCATCAAGGAAATTCATTAATAAAACCAGACAGATGATTCTCTATGCCAATATGATCAATTTCCTATTGAAAACAGCTATTCCAAAATCCAAATAGATTTCTTTAGTAGGTGTATACCTTGATGTAATCTTGCCAGAGACAATCAGCAGCAGTAACCATCTGCCGTGCATCATCCCAGACGAACCCATCCAACTGAAGTAGACTTTTAATAACATTATACTGCCTTCTTAGAGTTTTATATCGATTTTTAAGAATCTCTGCACTATAGTGAAAACCAAAATTTTCGTTAAATGATGAAATCATCTCCATCCATGCTTGTTTGCTGAATACACCATCAATCCGGTCTCCTTTGTGCACATGGGTAAGCATCAAGTTAATAAGATAATGGTCCATTTGGGGCTGCCAATAAGTGCGAGAACGGCTGAAAGAAGTGGCTGTTGTTTCCTTTGGCAAACTTAGCTTAAAATCATCATTTGCATTATCTGGTATAGAAACTCCATGGTTTTCTGCAACCTTTGTATTGTGAAGAACCTCATTGATATCCTCACTGACATTGTTAGATTGTCTGCCTATGGTGGCTCCATTGTCACCTGAATTAGATGACCCATCTGATTCCTTACCATCTAAGATTCATAATCACCATATATCGAAACATATTTCAGACCTCCTAGGGATCAAGCATGGGTTATATTAGTCCTCAACAATAGCAGTAACAAAAAAGAATTACCTTTTTCTGCAGTCAGTACATGTCCATAAATAGTACACAAGTCACTGAAGTAAGGAATACTTTTTATTCTATATGATCGGGCATCCGGATGTACCTGCCATTATCAGGCAGAAGACAATTATTGAAAAGCTTCATAAGATTTTTTTTTTTTTAAAAAAAAAAAACTAAGCACAAATGTCGATTTTTCATTACTTTGATGTATTCATCCCAAACGTTATCATCAGCGGTCACCATTTTTCGCTTCTCATCCCAGTAAAACCCTGCCTAGGCAAGAAGCGTTGTTACAGTCCCATACAAATTCCTTAATGTTTTGCGGCGATTTTTTAGAACGTCTTTTTCATACTGAGATTTGAACTTTGAATTGAACATTGAGGACATGTGCTTCCATGCTCGTTTGCTGAACAGATGATCATCAAATTTATTTCCTTTTCCAACCTGCTCTAACATCAGATCAATGAAATACCGATCCATTCCAGGTGTCCAAATTGTTCTTAGCCGTTCGTTACCATTTTGGGCTGGGACACCCATGTTTCTAGAGTGCAAGATACACAATGAGAATAATTATTAATCACTGAAAGTGAGAGTGCACTAAAAATCATAAATTACTTAAAATTCCAAAATTTTAAATTGATTGGTTAAAGACAAGGGAACCAAATTACATAGGTATTCTTTGGTATCAAATACATGTTATTGGTATACAGTTGACGATAGGAATCAAGAAATAATCAATGCATAAAGTTCTAAAGCAAATCTGCACAATGTTTATTTATTAGTCAAACTTGCCATCGCAACGCCCCGCCAGATGGACAAATGACAGTTTTCAGAGGGATAAAGCTTATCTTTATACGTCATTTTCCACAGATCCTAATCAGACTTAATAAACTGCTAACCTGGATCATAATTCTTCCAACAGACTCCTCCTCATTTCGCCCAAGAGTAATCTAGGCAGTCTAGCAGAAGAGGAATAAAGGAGTAAGGAGAGGAGAATACACACATTACTTCCCATTTGGATAAATTCCTCTGGTTCTTCTCCAAGCAAGAGTCAATTCGAATCAGGAGGTAAAACTTCGCGCTCTCCGCCGTTTAACAACTCTCAAAAAGAAAAGAGTAATATCCGTTCGGGTCCGCTCTCCATTTTTAATTGTGCAAACAAGTCAGACACAAACATCCAACTTCCTAGATTCTAAAAATCAATAGAACCATTGTTTGAGGTGACAGTGGATTGCAGAATCCAAAAAGCCATTAAGTTTGATTAAATTGACACGGAATATTGATAAGCTATAGAGGCCAAATTAAGCATACAATAAATCAAAGAATCGGCGCCAGGCGCTGCAGGCAGTATCGCGAAACATAAAAAGAAATGTGGCGAAGCGAATTAACAGGGAAAGGCACCTTGGACTTGGGAGTATGAAGATTTCTGAATGCGATAGTTTTCGCCTTGTCCTGCAAGTTCGGGGATAAGGTTTTCCTGGACAAAATTGGAGCCCCGCTGGCGATTGGTGGGATAGGGATACTACCTTAACCTTATTCGGGTTATTCTTGTTAGCAACTCTCTCGCTCAAGTTTTGCAATTTTTTAAAACTTCATATTATTTTTTTGCTATCTTATCTTCCATTAATAAAAATATTGATATTGATAAGTAGAATATTCCCTTTAGTGAAATAAATACTTAAATATATTTAAGAGAATATTTAAATTAAGGGTATCTAAGTAAAATATTATCAAATTTTACTATAATATAAATTTTTTAAAGATTTTTTATCAAAACTAATATTTTATTATTGAATAAATAAACACTCAAAATCTGATGCTGTGATGCACCCATCTATTCTATTTTATTATAATATACTAATAGTAAATTTAATAAATTTTTAGAAAGCATACAAATAAAAATTTTATAAAAATTATATTTAAAAAAATTTGATTAAAAGTTAAGGATCGTATATTACTTTGAGTAATAAAATACAGAACCTATTTATTTCAGATTATTTCATGAATAAATTACTTATTTTTTTAAAAAATATATTTTATGATTTTTATTTCATTTTTTTAAACTTTTAAAAACAATTAAAACCTGAAAAAAAATATTTTTGATTATTTTAAAATATTAATTTAAGTAATTTTTAAAAATAATTTATCACAATAGAAGTGAGAAAATATTTTTAAAAAATGGGTCATGTGAATATGTCATAGATTTTTAAAAAAATTAACTAATTAAATAATAAATTATTTTTTAAAAAATAAAAAAGATATTATAAAATTTAAAAATAACTAACTAATAATTATTTTTTATTATTGTAACTAAATATAAAATAATATTATTTTTTATAAAATCTTTATAAAATAAATCTCTTCATATAAATCTTTAAAATAGTTAAAAATTATTTATTTTTTAATCTTAAATAAAGATACTATGCACTGTGTCAATTTTTTTTTTTTTTACCAAAAGTATGTCAATTTCAAGAGCACAAAATAACTTTGTCTTTTAAAAACTACGTCACTTTCTTCCCTTATGAATGAGGATTCAGTACTTACTCAAAAAAAAAAATGTCCGCAATGGGTTGACTTTTTAAAAAAGCCGAATTTATATTTAAGCTTACTAACTATGTTTAAAGCTTCAAATTAATCTCTATAGGTTGACAATTATCAAAACAATTTCTTAACAAAATAATTTTCATTCTCAGTTTTATTTCTAATACTTTAAATTTAATTGTTATTCAAACACTCCCTTCGATCCTAAACGTAGGAAATATATAAGTGATTTTCCTAAATTTTAAATATTTGCCCAGTTAATTATTTATATGAAAAGTGTTAATTTACATATTTTTAATCATTTATATAAAATAACAATAATAAATACAAGAAAACAAAAAGATTAAAATTTTATATTTGGAATCAAAATAAATTTCTCAATCCGGGAGAGTAATCTAGTGGCGCCATATAGGCATGTCATGTATAGTTACCCAAATTCCAAAGACTTAATGTCAATAACTCAATCTATCGATGACTATATATGATCACAGTTATTCACCCAGTGTTTTAAAACTCAACGTTGAAATCATGGCGCAGCTGCACTAACATTCAAAAAGAGTCCATGACCTTATTATAGAAAATTCGCCTTTCTTTCAAAGTTGTCTTGTTCAACCGGCGTCTTTTCAGTGATACCATTAATCAAGCATCATCTGTAGACAGATGACTCCTGTGTTTAGTGTCGAAGATACACAGCAGGCCGAGATCACTTGTTTTTGACTCGTCCTTTCTTCATGGCCCCCTGGTATGGTTCAAGTCATTTAATGCATTCCTTCAATTTCAATTCTTCCAGAGACTGGCTGCATGATAATCGCTGCTCTTGGAACCAAGTAGATCCCAGAAAGGCAAGTCTGATGCCATATAACATGAACTGGAAGCATCGAAATCAACGAGTCTCTCAAAAAAGGCAACCTTGTCCTAATTTTATGCTACAGGATGATAGAAGAGTAATTCTTAAATTAGATGCACACAAGCAATATTTTCCAATTCCCATCACCGAAAGAAGACATCTTTCATTCCAAGAACCAATTAGTGGCATGTGAATGTGGAGGTGATATGCAGAGGCATGAGATATAAGATTGGAAAAATTGGTGAAAAGGACCTTGCAGAAAGAAAAATTAATCCCAAAGACCAAATGCAATTCAAGAACCAAATGTAATATTTTATTCATTAAAAAATATGTATAAATGATCAAAATAGCTCTCTCTTTAAACTAATAAAATTGAAAAAAAAATAAAAGCTACCTATTCAACGCATGCACCTTAAGTCAGAACCTTTGCACCCTAACTAGGAGCCTTGCACCCTCAGTCAGAAGCCTTACACCCCTACTCAGAAGCTTTGCACCCAAGTCAAAAGTCTTGCACACCTAGCCAAAAGCTTTAAATCCCTAGCCAGAAGCCTCGCACTCTAAACTAAAAACCTTGCATCTCAAACCAGAAGCTTTGCACCTAATTTAGAAGTCTTGCACCCCAAGCCAGATGCCTTGCACTCCCAACTAAAAGCCTTTCAGGCTAGCCAAAAGCCTTGCCCTCAAGCTAAAAGCTTATGGCTTGAGAGCAAGACTTCTAATTTAGGGTGCAAGGCTTCTAGCTTGGGGTGCAAGGCTTCTGGCTTGGAGTGCATGGTTTTTAGGTGGGGTGCAAGGCTTATGGATTGGGGTGCAAGGCTTCTGAGTGAGGTGCAAGGCTTCTGGTTAAGGTGCGAGGGTTTTGACTTGAGTGCAAAAGTTTTGACTTGAGGTGCATGTGTTCTGACTTAGGTGCAAGGCTTTTGACTTGGGGTACATTTGTTAAACAGGCAGCCTTTATTTTTTTTTAATTTCATTGGTTTAAAGAGATGAGTATTTTGATCATTTGTAAATGAATAAATTATTGCATCTAGTAGAGCTAGCTAGAGGCTCTATTCAAATAAAGGTTCAGGCTTTAAAAATTATTTTTTTAAAAGGAACCGAGTTTGAGAGCCTGACCCTAATAAGCCCTGTGAAAAAAGATTCAGGCTCAAGCGGCCCTCTAAGCCCTGATAAGCCTGCTTATCTTATATATATATACACACATACATACATACATATCTTTGATTAATAATGACACAATTTAGTTAATATTTATTATAGGTGATGAAGAAGAAGTTATAAAGATAATTGATATTGAATCTTCACCTCCATCTTTAATAAATATACTTACATATGAGGGATCTAATGTTTTATTTGTAGATGACGAGTAGGATTTGGGTTTGATTGATGAATATGTATTTTTTAGATTTCTAAATATGTTGTTTAATTTTTAAAATATTGTGATGATTTTAATTTTTTTTTAATTTCAAAATATTTTAATTAATTTATAATGTTTAATTTTATTTTAATTTTTTTGATTTTTTAAAATAAAGCTTCCGAGCTTGGTTTTAAGCCTTTTACATAAAAGTCGAGTCTCAAAAAAGAAGTTAAAAATAAAAAAATAGGCTCAAAGGTCCAACCTTTAAAGGCCAGGCCCACCCATATTCTCAATTATAACATTTGGTCCTTAAATTACATTTGATCTATAAGACTAATTTTTCTTTTAATAAAGTCTTTTTCACCAATTTTTCCAGTAAGATTTGGTCATGAGATCTTTCCATCTATGGTTGCACTCTCCTTTAGCACTGGCAAAAGTATTTCCATTAATTTATGGACGAATTAGATGTTACCTTGACCGACTGAGACTGATTGTGGCATATTAAACAACAGAAATTCATTACCTTGCCATTTGGTTTCCCTATCATCATCATCTTTAGAGCATAAGAGCTTATGAGAAAAACCTCGTGTAACAAGGGGGAAGGGGGGCTGCGGGTCTGCGCACTTCAAAAGGTCAAGAACACCAAGTCAGTCCTAATTTTTTGTCACCTTTGCCAAATTTCAATGTAAATAAATGCCTGAACACTCAGAAAATTGTACAGTCATAGGCTCCCTATACCAGGACTATGTATGTTTGAACTGCCCCACGAAGAATAAAAAAGAGGGGCATTATAAAATTATAAAATATAAATGTCTCCATAGCAGTTATATCATGCCGGGATATCATTAAGCAAATAGAATTACAGATCCGTATTGCCTACGAGCATTTCATAGATTTCGTAGACTCCAATGTAATATGGTCGGATAATCAACTGACTTCAAATCCCAACCAATGGTATAAAGGCAACTCTTCGCATCCAGTGTAGTAAACTGCAATTTTTATCATGAAACCTACCACAATTTTAAGAGGCTGAATCCAGATGGTTAGCAAGAGGATTTCAAGGAAGTCAGTAAGTTTTCAACATATTTCATCCAACACCAACGCGGGGTTCTCTGAAATGTGGAAGAACTTTTCAACTCATCCCCCCGGGGGGGCGCGGGGAACATCATCTCCATTGAGAGCTATGGCTTATGAAGTACTGGAAATCAGGAAGTTTAACCTGCAAACGCTGCAGCCAATTGTCAGCATCCTGCAATAAAGAGTTTGCTTGCTGCCACTCAGAGCCTCCATCGGGAGTGAAAATTGAACCCCTCAACTTATAGGAAGCAAGGGCGAAAACTGGGAGAGAAATCTTTGCATTAACACCACGGACCTTCTTGGCACTAGAAGCATGAAATTGTGGTTCAAATTTGCCTGCACCAGTCAGAAAGACACGGATTAATAAAACGGAATTTCTTCATTGATTGTGTATTTGTCAGAATGAATGAGATAAACATACTTCTTGAAAGAGTTGATAATGAATGGAAGGTTAGGAATGATGCATCCAAACTTCTTAGCGTTGAGCCAACAGGTATTCTATAAATTGGATACCTGAACCCATGTTCAATTCATCAACACAACAAATAACAAACAAGGAGATAACCACAACAGCAACAGTAGAACACATCATTTACGCCTACCAAGCCACTGAAAACCAACTTGAAGGCAATAGATCACAGCTTCTGTACTTCTTTAGATCTGGAAATTGGGAGGCAAGACTAGTAACCTAAGGAACAAAAAGAAATCAAGAGTGTCCAAGTCAGAACATAAAATAGAATTAAAAAAAAAAAATCCATTAAAACCTGAAAGAATGAACTTGCCTTGTCATAAACAGGTGGACGGAAGTGTGGTTGTTCTCGCTCAAAATATTCATACACAAGCTGCCCTGGATAGTTACAGACCTCAGTTTCATCACTCGAAGAACTCAGCGGTGGTCTATCTCTCACACTTATTCTGCTCAGTCTTTGAGAATTAACATTCATCAGGTTGCGCTGCATCCAAGCACTGTCAACACTCCCTCTGCCTCGCTTTTCTGTTTCACAGTCACTGCTACCAGCACTGCTTGTCTCCCTTGAAGACTCAGCATCACTGTCATCCCCAGGCCTCCTGATACAGTTTTATAGCAATAATTCACACATCTTTAGCATTGCAATGACATTAGAATGATACCAGTTTCAGGAAGAGTTAAGCATACAAACAACAAACAAAAGTCCAATGAGGCTACTACAATAAATTTCGTATCAACAAATTTAAAGGAAGATGTGAAGCAGCCTATATAATTTACGAAAAGCTAAATTAAAGATCATTACTTGTTAAATGGTTATAGGCTAAACCAATCAACAAGTGTCCTCAGAAGCACAAATCTTATAAACTATCTAAGCGGCATTATTCACCTAGCGTTTAGCAATTCACCCTTGTTTGTTCCCCTTGACTCAAAAACTTTCCATCCAATGTTGAGCATGTGGTCACTTACCACTCAAGCAACACCTCAAAAGGTACAGGCATAGTAAAACCATGATTGCATGGGTACTAACATTAATATATTTCCAGATGGTTTAGTAACCTAGTATGCCTGATGGAAAATGGCAGCATTGTATTCATCTAACCAAAGTATGAACCCTCACCCTGATCAGTTCTTAGCATTTCCTGTATCTTGGTTATAAATTTTTCCATAACTAAACATGCATAATAATTTCTTGGTTATATGACTGATAACAATGGTCTTATAATCCCAATCACTATATACTTCTGTTTATTAAAAGACTCACTTATCGTAATACCAAAGAGATTAAATTTTAGCAAAAGATACATTTGCCTTCCACTAACAAGAACTTAAGATTCTATATGTGGATGCACTGACACATATCAGAGGCCATATTCAGAATTCATTCATCACCTAATATCATTTTCTAGTGTGTCCATAAAGCATTTATTCTCCATAATTGATGCCTTGTAATTGAAGTGCCAGCTCAGAAACTCAACTCGGTGCCCAATTGATGCAATTTCCAAAATGTAAGGAAGCAGTTCCTCATACCATAATCACCCAGGTCGCATTTGGCATAAGTTGAACAGAGAACCATTACCCAAATTCTAGGGAGAAAAAGTGATTATTAACCTTGGCACTTGATTAGATTTAATGCATCGAATACAATTTGTTGAATGCAAGCCTCTTAATTCAATGAGAAAAATATTTGAAAGCAAGGTCCCTGATGGGCAAGATAAGACCAATGAAAGAAACAATATCTAAAACAAAGTGCAGCAACAAACGCTAAACCCAAAGAAAAATTTCATTGCCATCATAGTTGTATTAAGACAATGCTGTGCCTTATTGAAAGATGCAAGCTCCAAAAGAAAACAACTACTTTACATCTCATGGACTCATCCCCCCTCCCAAAAAAAGTAAAAAGTTCATGCTTAAAAGAAGTCAAGATTAGTTAAGTTCACAACTGGTAGATGCAAAATGACCTGAAGTTGAGGTGGGATAAAGACTTATCTTAACCATTTTGCATCATAAGTGGATTTAGATGCAAAATAATAATAAAACCAACCAAAGATCAACTTAAGGAGGGAGAGTAATGCAAAGTACAGAGTATCATGGAATTTAACCATTGATTAATCACTGCAAAGAGAATAAAAGAAAGACAGGCAGATAGACAGACAGAATGATATGGACTATGGAGAAAGAGTGGGGCACACAAAATGGCTGACCTTGGCCTATGCGGTTCAACATATAATTGAATGCCTGACAAATATGGGATATAATACTGCTTAACAGAATCGCTCCCATTCAGTAAAAGCGGCACTTCTACTCCATAAGCACTCCATTCTCTAAAAGATTCCCAGAGATCCCCAAGTAAAAAGAATAGATTCCCATCAGCTTCAGCTGTCCTCCATCCCCTCTTTTTTGGCTGTACACTCCAAACCCCAGCAGTTAAGAACATAAATAAATAAGACAATATGAACCCAATAAGAATGAAAAGCCACAGAACAACAATAGACATGACTTCTTTTTAATATAAAAGGTTTTTATTTAAATAAGAATATCTGTAATAAAGTAGGTAGTTGTAAAAATAAGAAAATCTGTTAGGGGAGAGAAACCTTTTCATTTCCCTATGTCATTTATGAATTGTGCTTGATAAATGAGTGCATAGTGAAGATACTGGCACCAACTAAAGCCTGGCAACAAGTGTAACACCAAATCATTTTCCTTTACAAACTAAATTCAAATGAAAATGGCCATTAAGAAGTTGTACATCCTTCCATCTTGGTAATTTGAATTAAGAGACCATCCATTGAGTGGCAACATTCATCCAATCATTCCTGCTGCGCTGGAAGCATTCCTTGAGAACTTGGATTTAAAAGATTATATAGTATGTGTTTGGACCATCAGCTAGAATCTGGATAATTAGCATAAGCTTTTCAGATTTCAAATGCACTTTTGAGGGAATTTCGAGGTAACGTTTATGATAAGCAAAAAATGAAGCTTTTGCAAAAGCACATCTGAAACAGAAAAACAAACAGACCAGTCCGACCCTGACAACTTCTGGCATTATGATGTAGCTCGAACGTAAGCCACCAGTCAGTTGTTCTCGACTTAAGATTAAAATTAGGAAACAGTCAATATATTTTCAAGCATGAGAACTGCATTTCACTACACTCAAAACTATTTTGCTTCTCCGCCATCTAATGTCTGAGCCAAAGGGCAAGTCAAATATAAACAAAGTTCGCATAGGGAGGTCAGAGTCTTGGCTGCTAAAAGATAAAGAAAAATCAGAAATTTTCTCACGCTTTTCATTATTTCTATAGAACAAAGAGTCAGACAGTACCTCGGATAAGAACTGAACCGGAACCAAGGGGGTGACTGATTCCATGAGGCGATCCAAATTAGTCAAATTAGCAGTTCTCGGCGGCGAAGAAGAGGAAACTGAGTTGGGCCTCGACAATGACGACTCGTCGGAGTCGTTACGGGCTTCGGCTTCGACCGGGTCTACTCGGGCAGGAGACTTCAACCGTCTTTGCAGCTGCTGCTGATGCTGCTGTTGCAGTACCAACTGCTGGTTCCTCCGAACAGCCGGAGGGTTGTAGAAGCGGTCAGAGCCGTGAGTCCGCGTCACGGCAAAGCCCCCCGAGTTAGACATTATTGTAATTTACGGAAATTTGCAGGCGCGACCGCGTGAGATAGGAATCGAAGAAGATTAAACAATAAATATATAGAAAAAGGAATTTGTATTGAAAATTTAGATAGTGAAGAGACTAGGGAGTGGGTTTAGAAGGGGTTTTAGGGCCAATTCTGCGTCGGATGACCATGAAGAGGCATGGAAGTAAATCAATAAGGTTTGTTCCTGGGTTGGAAGTTGGGATTTGGAAGAGTTTTTATGAAAGTGAAGGTGGTGTTCTGGAAACAGGCCACTTTTTTTTTTTTTTTTTATATATGTTTGGGACGAAATCTACCTTCCCTACCGTAACTCTCTGCTGCCTTTGAACAAATTCTCTCTCTGAAATGCCCTCCCACCCCTCCTCCCGCTTCTGCCCTTTCATATATTCTTTATTTCTTTTTGAAGTTTATAGTTCTCCAGTGTTTTTATAAGGGATAATGACAATTAAGGATGTCGTCAAAAGATTGATATCGAATCAAAATTTTTGGAGTTTTCTGATGCTGAAACGTGAGAGAAAAAGATTTAATTATAAAAAGATCATATTTTTTTATAAAATCCTTATTTGTCATTTTCTCCTAAGAAATTGAAAATATTTTGCCTTTTTGATCATCCACATCATAATCATCAATTTTATAACACCTAAATTTAAGTCAAATTAGAGTCAAATTTTAATTTAAAAATTGCTAAAAATTCTACACAGCTATTTAATTTATTTTGTAAGTATGGAGTGCAGGTTCCATCAAAAACATATATTATCTCAATGAAGAACCGAGAATAAAGAATAAAATTGTCTCAATTAAATTGCTACTGCAAAGATATTGAGATTCAAGCTTTTGAGACATTTATCATTATCATTTATTTAAGTGACAAAAAATTCTAAAACCCATAATAACTTTAGTTTGTAAATAACTATTTAGTTTTTAAATAATTGTAAGTTAAAAAAAAATTGGAAGGAGGCTAAACCAATCTTGTAGAGAATTGAATCCACCACCTCTTTTATACAAGGGGATCACCTTATCATTAGGACAATGGATCAAGTGCCAAATCACCGTAAGTTAACTTGACAACAATAATACCCAAAAGCATGTCTTTTAATGGTATTTTCAATTTTAATTTTTACTTAGAATTTAGTTTTTATATTCCTCTCGTGAGGATACATTTAAGACCCCCAAAGAGGTAAAGGGTGATAGAGTGGGCGACAATACAATTCATGCTAGTGAAAGACAAAGAAAGCTTAAAGGTGTCTTCTATGAGCATAGAATTTTGACAGGTTCACAAAAAAACTTGTCTCGCTAACGATGAATGGAGCCATATGTCACGGGCTGAGAGTCTGGCGCAGCACACGGCGCCCGTGCGGCGTCCTGGAGGACCCCATAATCCTCAGGACAAGCCTTGCCACGTACGGATCACACTGGTTTCGCCCTGCCATGGGCTCATCAGGGAGGCGGCACTAGCCCCCGACCAGTTGTGCACACAGTCCGAAGACTGAGGCAGAACACCCCAAATGCTAATGTCGCCCCCTTTACCCATATTGTGCGAGGCTAACCAGCGGACCGTTCATTATCTTGGTCTTTACACGGTCACGGAAATATCATCCGTGACATTCTCCCACACCCAATCTAGCACGCCCTCGTGCTAGGGGAGAACGACTCCGCCCAAGGATCGTACGTACAGTACTGCCACAAACACACCAGCTTACTTGCTGGGTGGCCACCCGAGTCCTGCACTCTTCGAACCCACTCGCACCCGCGAGCCAACAGGAGTGGAGTCGACAACGGCCAACCATCCCGCCCGAGTCCCCACTTTTGGACCCACCTGCTCGGAGGCCTTTCTGGAGCGGTGCCGAGGCCGACCAGTCCCAACGTGGGACCCCACGCGCACACGGCAGTAAAGTACGTCCTGCTCTGATACCACTCTGTCACGGGCTGAGAGTCTGGCGCAGCACACGGCGCCCGTGCGGCGTCCTGGAGGACCCCATAATCCTCAGGACAAGCCTTGCCACGTACGGATCACACTGGTTTCGCCCTGCCATGGGCTCATCAGGGAGGCGGCACTAGCCCCCGACCAGTTGTGCACACAGTCCGAAGACTGAGGCAGAACACCCCAAATGCTAATGTCGCCCCCTTTACCCATATTGTGCGAGGCTAACCAGCGGACCGTTCATTATCTTGGTCTTTACACGGTCACGGAAATATCATCCGTGACATTTTCACTCTGTCACGGGCTGAGAGTCTGGCGCAGCACACGGCGCCCGTGCGGCGTCCTGGAGGACCCCATAATCCTCAGGACAAGCCTTGCCACGTACGGATCACACTGGTTTCGCCCTGCCATGGGCTCATCAGGGAGGCGGCACTAGCCCCCGACCAGTTGTGCACACAGTCCGAAGACTGAGGCAGAACACCCCAAATGCTAATGTCGCCCCCTTTACCCATATTGTGCGAGGCTAACCAGCGGACCGTTCATTATCTTGGTCTTTACACGGTCACGGAAATATCATCCGTGACACATAGGCTGCAATGAGTAGGGACGTAATAACTTGCGCCACGGTGAGTGTGTAAATTCATGATTGGTTGTGGCAAGGGTATTCTTAGCCGCGGCAAACTAGTACAGTTTTTCAAAATGATTGTTCTATCCTTCTTATTATTCCTTTCTCAATGTTGAGTCATATAATTCATGTTTCCACATAATTTCAAATACTCTTATTTCTAAAATCAATATATATTTATCTCTTGATGATATTTTCAGATTTCAATTTTAAAGTTGACATTTATTATTAATAATAAACTTTAAAATCATGGTTAATCCTTAAGTTTAAGGTTGTTGGTTAATAAAGTTTATTAAGGGCTAATGACAACATTACATTATACAAATCTCCTCTTCTGTGATAGAACTATAAAGGAAAGACATAACTTCATCATCTAGAGTAAGCACTTGTAGAATTTGAAGTCTTCTTAGAATATTAGAGAAGTTTGTAGTTGCTTGGCTTGAGTATATGTCATTAAAGCATTCCTATCCAATTGCTTGAAGTTCATGTTGATCATTAGTCCATATTCCATCCTCTTTCTTGATAGAACTGATGATTTTTTTTTATTTCTTTTGGCTCACTGATGAATGAAAAATTTTTACATTTCTCTCTCTCTCTACGTTCCATCTTAGTTTAAGTTGTTGTCTCCATAAGTTATGTTGACAATCATATAATAATTCTAACTCATGCTACTTTTCCAAGAGAGAGTCATTTAAAGATTTATCATTCAAATCTTGTATAGAGTTTGAGATTTAGAGGATCTCCTTTTCAAAGTCATTAGTTCTGCTTGGAATGTGTCCCGTAGTTCTTTTGCTCCAATTCAACAAGGAAGATAGAGTTGTAGCTAACTTTTTGTGAATTCGAAAACTTAGGGAACCCAAACAATCCATATTCTAGGTAGTCTTAATGATTTTTGAGCATTCCTTGAACTTAAACCATATAGGTTCAAATTTAATGAGTTTTTTTTTTTCACTTAGCCATTAGGGTGGAAATAGAGAAAAGCATGGGAGAGTGGTCTGATGCTAAAATTCCTATGTTTTGCACACTGTAGAAGTGGAAGGTTAGGAAATAAGGGTCATTCCCAAAAGCTAAGTTAATTTTGTTTCTTAACACTGGCCTTGCCCTTTCTATAATTTAACCAAGTAAAATTCAATCTTGACCAATGAATGAATAATAAACCTATGTTAAAAATGCAGTCTTGAAACATTTTTTATCTACTTGAGCCAATGATGCAACTAATTTTATCTGAATAATGTGACACTTCATTAAGGTCTTTTATAAGTAACTAAGGGTGGTGAATGCCAAATGAGGTTGCTGTGATCTAGTCCCAAAGAAAGTGGCGATAATAAGTAACATAAGGACTGTAAACAAAGGATACTAGGCGTTCATTAATAGTACTAGAAGAGAGCTTATAGTAAACAAAGTGGGGGGGTAATGGCTACGACATAAACAACAAAAGAGGCTAACCAACTAACAATTAGCCCTCCCCCATAGTTAACAACATCACAACCTACAAAACTAGAATAGCCAAAAGAGGAAAGTATGTTTGTAATAGCTTTAAAAGAAATTTTAGTTTTAGATAAGAAAATACAATCAAGACAGCGAGCATTAATTAACTGCTTAAGTCTTTAGGCTATCGTGGCTTTCCTCAACTCATGGCAATTCTAGATAGTGATCTTCATAGCCCTTTAGGAAGCTTTAGATCAGTTACTTCACAAGCCTTTTTGGATTTGAGGGAGTCCAAGGGTCATTCATTTGCTTTAGGCCTTTTTGTTGTTATATTTTAAAAGGTAGAGTGAGTTCAATATACCTTTTGCTCAAATTTTGTGATTTTTTCTCATTATTGATGCTAAAGTCCAGTAGGGTGTTGTCACTAGTAAAGAGACTGTCAATTAATAGGCTAAAATGGTTTTTTAAAATTGGCGAGTTTAGTGATGATAGAGTAGAGATGGTGTTTTTTGCTAGTGGAGGTGAGGGAGGGATTTGTAATAGAGGAAATTCAAGTAAAGGGGCAAGGTGTGCTCTAAAGAGGTAACTGAACTAGCAAGAGGATAAGGCAATGACAAACGAAGTGAAAGCGAATGCTCTGAATTCATAGGTAGAGAGGTAAAGGCATATGTTGCATTGCATGATGAAATGAAAAGCAGGAAAGGTCAAGGGTATAAGTTGCCAACATTAATTATTATCATCAAAACTGTAGAAGAAGAGTCTGACTTTATCCAAAGGCCAATTATGTGTATCACAAAGATTGATCCAAGCACTAATAAGGATGTAGGAAGTAAAGGTCTAGTGGATGTTGGAGTCTAATTGAATTTATTTAGGTTTGCATTTTCATTAGGCATAATGAAAGTTGAGGAAAAAAAGCTTGCTGCACCTTGCTTTTCTATGAGTTTAAATGGACTTCTTGATCAATGTTATCCATATTTGGTTCTAGGCGACATCTCTTTCCTGCAGTAGATCCTGGGAGTGTATTTTAAAGTAGTACTAGACAGCGGTGCTTCAGGAAAGAGGAGAGAGAAATTTGGTTCTTCTTATAAGTGATTATAATCTAAGGAAAGTGATGGTCTCTTAAAAGATCTGGATACATTGGATGTCTATGTGAAAGTAGACAAAGGGAAATCAAAAATATGTAGTGGCTTGTTGAAATCAGGCTTGTGAAAGATGTTGATGCATGCGATGCAGATTATAAAGAGTGTGCTAATATGGTGTGGTTTTGGTTGCATTCAGGTCTTGTTAATTGTAAAACTCAGGTTAGACAGGTCAGGTTACCCTTACTAATTTTTCCCAATCTTTTAAAACATCAATGTGATTAACAAATT